GGGCGGGGAGATGGCCCCTCCCCCCGCTCTCCTCTCCCGTGCAGGTGAGTTCTGGCTGGGCCTGGAGAAGATGTACCGCCTTGCAAGGGGCCGTGGCAGCCGCCTGGCCGTGCAGCTCCGGGACTGGGAGGGCCACGGCCGGTCGCTGCAGTTCCCGGTCCACCTGGGCGGTGAGGATACGGACTACAGCCTGCAGCTCACAGCGCCTGTGGCCAGTGAGCTGGGCGCCGCCTCCACCGTGCCCAGCGGCCTCTCCCTACCCTTCTCCACATGGGACCACGACCATGGCCTGCGCAGGGATCTCAACTGTGCCAAGAGCCTCTCGGGTGAGCGCCCTGCCGGGGCCGCCTCTCCTTGGCTTACCTGTCTTTGGACATGGGTGCCGCTGTGAGCCGCGTGTGGGAGGGTGCGGAACGGGGTACAGCCACCGGGAGAACCCGTCTTGTTCTTGTTATTCCCGTGTTTATTTGTTTCCGTTAAGTTTATTGGTACATTGTAGGTTCTTTTTATATTTTGAGACAGGGCCTCGCTGTCTATTGCAGGCTGGCCTTGAGTTTACCAGGTCGCCTAGGCCAGCCTCAAACTCAAGGCGACCCTCCTCTGTCAGCCTCCTGGCTGTTGCTGGGAGGACAGACATGAACCACCATGCCCAGCTCTGAAATTACCTTCCGATGGGTAAAAAACTGATAGAACGTTGGTAATTTCACACCATTCGAGCTAATGCAAATCGATACCCAGGATGCCAGTTGTAGAGAGCCTTTTTATTGTTTTGCAACACTGGGAATTGGATCCAGAGCTTTCACACTGAACTACATTCCCACCCACTTATTTTTTTCTTGTTATCAAACAAGATCTTGCCGGCCGTGGTGGTGCACCCCTGTAACCCCAGCATTCAGGAGGTGGAGGCAGGAGGGTCGCTGTGAATCTGAGGCCACCATGGGCTACCTAGTGAGTCCAAGGCCAGCCTGAGCTGAATAGTGAGACCCTGTCTCGAAAACCAAAACAAGGGGCCGGGATTTAGCTCAGTGGTGTCACTACCTGCCTTGCAAACACAGGGACCCGAGTTGGATCCCTGGTACCAATAAATAAATAAAAAACAAAACAAAAGGAGCTGGGGATGTAGCTCAGCAGCACAGCACCTGCCTGGCAAGCATGAGGTCCTGCTTGTGATCTCCGGTACCAAAACAAAACAAAACAGGGGATCTTGTTTAGTCACAAAGTTGCCCTGGCAAACTTGCAATCTTCCTGCCTCAGCCTCTCAGGGTGCCCGAATTACCCCGGGGTCTAGCAGAAAGACTTAAAAATGTAATGTCGGGAAAAAGATGTATAATGTCAGAAGCTCAGCGTGGCCTCCAGTCCTCTCCCCACCTGCTTCTGGGGGCTCAGGACCTGACCATGATTGGTGCTCTCTTTTCTGACCCCCAACAGGTGGCTGGTGGTTTGGCACCTGCGGCCACTCCAACCTCAATGGCCAGTACTTCCGCTCTGTCCCCCGGCAGCAGCAGCGGCAGAAGAAGGGGATCTTCTGGAAGACCTGGCGGGGGCGCTACTACCCTCTGCAGGCCACCACCATGCTGATGCAGCCCACAGAGGACACTGTGGCCTCGTAGCTATTTGCCCGGCCCTAGAGGACAGTGATTTGGCTGAGGCCCAAGGAGGTGGCTGTTTTCTTCTGGGCGCACAGTCTGGGCGACAATCACAGGAGCCTGGGTGGACAGAGGAGGCTCCACGACTGTAAAGCCCCCATGCTGAGGATCCGCGTCGCCTGGTGTGACAGATTCTGGCCTGTGGGGTGGAGGGGCATTGAGGCCACTTCTCGCCCGCCCGAGGAGTGGGGGACACAGAGGGGCAACGGGGACGTCCAGGCAGACTCAGTCACATTGACTGGCCAGGGCTCTAGGGGCCCTCACGGTGCTGTCATGTGGGTTGCTGCCACGCTGGCCAGGGCCAATGGTGGTGGCCGGATGGAGCTCACAGAGTTCTTGGAATGAAAGCAACCTCAGAACATTTTGTTTTTCGCTGGCCTTTGGTTTGTTTTTCAACAGCAGGCTGTTTCGAAGTCCACGTAAACATGTTCCCAAGTGGGAATGCGCCTTCAGGTCCTTCTGGGATACAGCTGTTATCCCTCCCACCTCCCACAACCAAATCTGGTTCCCTTTGTTTGTTTGTTTGTTTGTGACAGGGTCTCTCTATGCAGTTCAGGATGGCCTCAAACTCACAGCGATCCTCCTGCCTCAGCCTCCCAAGTGCTGGGATAACAAGAGTGGAACACCACATCCGGCTCCCCTAGTACGTTATTTCACAATGTGACCCCCTTTTATTTTCAAAATCATGGAACAGAGCCAGGTGTGGTGGTACACGCCTGTAATCCCAGCACTTGGGAGGCTGAGGCAGGAGGATCGCTGTGAGTTCGCGACCAGCCTGGGCTACACAGTGAGTTCCAGGTCAGTCTCAACTACATAGTGAGACCCTGTCTCAAATAACCAAAAACAAAAAACAAAATCATGGAACAAAGATCTCATGCAGTTCATTTGCTATGGATGCAGGTAACAGAGAAAACCATATGAATCACATTTAACCTTTTAATATCTTGCTGTCAGATAAAAATATAATACCTGTGGTACCTTTAATTTTATTCTTCCTAGTAGCCATGGTTAAAAAACCCAAAAAACAAAAGTACCTTTGGACTAACCATGGACCAGTGGTCCACGGCTGCCAGATTAGCAAAGCATCCAATTAGTGATGTAAACACTAATGCAGGATTCTACAGATTACCTATGATGGAATTTACAAATTCTCTCTCTCTCTTTTTTTTTTTGGGGGGGAAACGGGCTTGCTTCATAGTTCAGGCTGGCCTCAAATTCAAGGAGATCCTCCTGCCTCAGCCTCACAAGTGCTGGGATCATAGATGTGCACAAACACACCCAGTTTACAGTTTCCCTTTAAACGAACCTTTGTTTTTGGTAATGTAAACACAACTAATATTTATTCAGCTGTTACTACATACCAAGCCCTATGCCTGGGATACTCTAGTGAACAGGAGGACCTCTGTCCTCCTGAGCTGCCCATCACAGCCCCTCCCTCAGAGGTAGGGTGACCCTGGCCTGATGGCCCAAACAAACACCTCCGAGTAAAGGGGTGGCTGTTAATAATTAAGCTGGGGGACACATAGGAAATAGCTCACTCCCAGAAATGGCTGGCCTCGATTTTTTAAATGTAAGCATATCTCTGCCAAGTCTGAAAAATTATTATCAGTCAACAATATAACAATGGTTGTGCTTCAGAATTCTAGTTTGTGAGTCAGGCATGGGGGCACACACTTGTGATCCCAGCACTGGGGAGGCTGAGGCAGGAGGATCACTGTGAGTTCGAGACCAGCCTGGGCTACACAGTGAGTTCCAGGGCAGTCTCAACTACATAGTGAGACCCTGTCTCAAAAAAGCAAAACTTAAAAATATCACCATAAATGTATCTGGAATGCGTTTATGATGTAATGGCATTATGACAGCTATGATGTCATCAGGCAGTAGGACTTTTCCAGCTCCATTATTCTATTTTTTATTGTTTGTTTGTTTCTGTTTTTTGGCACCAGGGATTGAATTTGGGACCTTGTGTTTTCGAGGCAGACAGCAGCACTACTGAGCTACATCCATGGCCCTAGTGTTTGGTCTTTTGAGACAGGGTCTTCCTATGTAGTCCAGGCTGGCCTTGAACTTACTACGTTTTTTTTTTTTTTTTTTTTTGGGGGGTTTTGTTTTGTTTTGGTACCGGGAATCCAACTCAGGACCTTGTGCTTGTGAGGCTGGCGCGGGCATCATTGAGCTAAATCCCCAGCCTCCTGAATGCACTATGTAGCCCAGGCTGGGTTCAAACTTGCAGTGATCCTCCTGCCTCCAGAGTGCTGAGATGACAGGTGTGGGCCACCATTCTTGGTATTATATTTCTTTTCCATTGCCTGGGCTGTTGCTGTGTTTCCCAAGCTGGCCTCAAAGTCCTAGGCTGAGAGCTCTTCTCTCAGGCACCAGCCACCGCCACCCACCGTGCTTACAGCTCCGTTATACTCTTATGGGCCTAGGGGCCTGTACTGTGTGAGGTCCATTGTTGGCAAAGCAGTTGTCTTGTGCCTCTTGACTGTACTGTTGTTACAATGAGCCATGCTGGGGGGAGGCAGGCAGTGACTTGAGACAGGAGCAACTTCACAGTGAAGATGACTTTGAGTCGGTTTTCTTTTTTCTTTTCCTTTTTTTTGGGGGTGGGTGGGATATGCAGTCCTGGGGTTTAATCCAGGGGCTCAGGTATCACAGTATGATTAAGCTACACTCAGCCCCTGGGTCGATTTTCTAAGGATGGCCTTCTACAAAAATGATGAGGAAAGCTAGGGATGGTGGTTCATGTCTGTCATCCCAGCATTTGGGAGGCTGAGGCAGGAGGCTTGCCTGGAGTTCAAGGCCAGCTCAGGCTACATAGTGAGTTCAAGGCCACGCTGGTTTACATAGCGAGATATACAGTCCCTGCCTTCCTCAGGCTGATATTCTGTTAAAAGGGAAAGTAATTAAACTGATCACCAGATCAAGAAAGAGATACTGTTTTGTAGTTAGTAATATATATATTTTTCCTGGTATGGGAGATCGAACTCAGGACCTTGTGCTTTCAAGGCAGGTGTGCTGCCACTGAGCTAAATCCCTGCACCATAGTTAGTAATATTTGCAACATACACTGAAAATTTGCCGAGAGTGCAGATTTTACATACTCAAAGGTAGCCATCGAAGGGAATGGATAGGGCCTCACTATGTAGCTGATACTGCCCTGGAACTCACTATGTAGCCCAGGCTGGTCTCAAACTCACAGCGATCCTCCTGCCTCAGCCTCCCGAGTGCTGGGATTACAGGCATGCGCCACTACGCGCGGCTGGGACACTTTAAATACATAAAATAAATACATGCTTCAATGTCAGAAGGTATAAAGCCTATAGGAGAAGGTAATTTTGGAAAGTGCTCTTATCTCTGCTCCTCTGTGGTGCTGGGGATGGAACCCAGGACCTCACAGACTAGACAATCACTATGCCACTGAGCTACACACCCCCACCCCTAAATATTTGTTAAAATGTGGACTGTTGAGTCAGTATGCGTTTATTCAGGGTCTCGTCCCTTGTCTGCAAGAACAGAGGAGTGGGCCGGGAATTTAGCTCAGTGGTTCCGTCTCCCGCCTCACAAGGACCAGAGTTCGATCCTCGGTACCAAAAAAAAAAAAAAAAAAAAAAAAAAAAAACAGGAGTAAGACAGTAAGTCAGTAGGGCACTAACGGAAACTGCAACAGAGAGACGACGCTCCCGTCCACGCGGAGTAGAGGACCCCGGAAATGGTCATTTATAGGCTGGGGGGCGAGGCCAGTGCCCCGGGAACACTGACCCATGACGTCATCGGGACGTTAAGCAGCGTAACATCACCTGGCCGTAGTCCCTTTCTCCTTGTCCGACAGACCCTCTAGTCCTACGACGGAATCAAGCCTCTTATTGGCTACGTATTCCGTCAATCCGCTTTATTCTTCCAGTCTTCCGCCCAGCCTTTCAAACCCTGCTTCTCATAGGCTATGGTGGCTGTCACTTCAGAAAGGTCCGCATTCCTTCCGCCTTTCTCCAGGAGACCGAGGACGAAGTGGGCGGATCCCAGGAGGGACCCGCCCCTGGAGCTCTTTTCTTGCTTCTAATCGGCTAGGCTTGGTGCCGGTCGCTACTTCTTCCGCTGCTGATTGGTCAACAGGCCGCCGGTCTGCGCGGCGCCGGCTCCGCCCCCGTAGGGTGTTTGTGGTGGGGCTGCGGAGTCGCCGATCCCGCCGGAAGCGCCAGGACAATGGGGACCCGGGACGACGAGTACGACTACCTGTTCAAAGGTGCGGACAGTAGAGTACAGTCGAGGGTGGGGGCGGCGGTAAGGCGACAGACAGGCAGGCCGAGGTCGCGCTTTGTGCCGCTGGGCCCAAGCTGCAGCCTGCCCGGGGTTTAGGCCTGGCGGGTCGGGCAGCCAGGAAGGCCAGGACGGGACAGGAGGTGTCATTTCGCCCAGAGCGTGGGTCTGTGAGGAACAGGAGGCCCACAGAGGCCTCGAGACTCTGGAAGCGACGAG